TCCGGTGAGAAATCGGGCGAGAAATCCGACGAGATAGATCCGACAAAGTCTTTTTCTTGTGTGAATAATATTTTGTGGCATTTTTTTAAGGGTTGAAAGATAATGACATTTTTTTAACATTTTGGTGGAGAAATAACATTTTTGGTAGTTTTCTCATTTTTGTTCTCACTATACAGTTATAATAAAGGCAGATTATTATTACTATTTAAAAGTAAAAGATCATAACTCATTTTTTGGCTTTTCTTTGTAACTTTATTCTAAATCTCACCAAACATGCAAGACCGGAAGAAATTGGGTAAGTAATTAATTAGCATGTGCTTTTAGAGAAACCTTTCTCACAATAGTCCAAGTATGCATGAACCATTGCCATTTCATCAAGAATCTATTAAGAGCTTTTTGTCAAATGATAAAGAGTCAATAAAAGACAATACTTTAAGCTAAACCTTTTTTCGTTAAACTGATTTTTGTGCTTTTAAAAGGAGGAGCAATTTATTATCATATTCATATACTATATATATGCATGTTTTGACTTAATTAATACCGCAATCATGATGGCTTAGTGGTTTGTACTTAGTAAGATAGGTGTTTTGAATCTTTTCACTACAAATCTTAATCATGATTAGTTATTTATATAAACACATAAATAGTACATCTTCACGTTTCTTTTACGTGTACATTTTTCACTTATAAATAGTACTTTTAACTAATATAGCGTTTTTTTTGTTTTATCTAAACTAATATGATGTAATTAAAATTCGTTTTTTCTTGTTGGATTAAAATTGTTCCTACATACATAGTTTGTGCAAAAAGGTCATAAGTTATAACACCCATTCACAATTAACAAGATCGCACATATGGACCATGTATGTACCTTATCTCTATAAGAATTCATTACTCAAATAAATCTCATCGAGCTACGCAAATTTTGACAGAGATTTCACAAGTGGTTATACTTTTCATAATCCCGGGCTCGTACGACTTGTTTCGAGTCCAGCTCATTTCAGTCTAGCACAATCCGTTTACGTCTGGTCTATGTTGAACCCGGTCAGTTTCAACCTTCATTCTAAAGCTTAAACCCGCCCATTATTTAAACCGTCCCGTGGCTAACTTTAACGGTACAAAGGAAAATTGCGAACTCATCGAGTTTTGCACAGGCCGTTCTGGACCCGTCCTGACGGGGCAATCAGCTCTGATTTCCGACTGCAAAACATATTTGGCCCATCCAATGTTTCAAAATGGGCGGGCCAGCTCGCAAGCTTTCAGCCTATTTTGAACACCACTAACTCTGACACAATACCAACGTCCTACGAGGTAACCTCGTCACATTAGACTCAATGTGCAAGACTATCCCGAAAGACCATCGGATTGTTTCCCAGAAACATTTGTATTATAAGTTCTCTATAAGAAGCTCATGAATTGCTGTTTATATTTTAAATACATATAAATCCCCCAAAAATGGAAAGAAGAAATCCATGAAAGCTGTAGTCTGTACTAAACTACTGTCATATGATCAAATTAATGTATACTATATGTATGGTTAACCTGTATTATGCTAAAGTTGACTCCCTTTTTTTCTGTTGTCAATTTTGGTTAACCCTTTCTTAGTTTTATAACTTTAACCTTTGCTTACCTTTTCACATTTAAAAGGTTGTTGTATCTGTTGATGATTCTACTAATCCTTCACTCAAAAGACGCATCGCGGCTCCTCTAGTGAACTTCCTAGCAAAGAGAAAGCACGGGACGGGTTTTGCATTCGCCCGGCACCATTCTGTTCGATATTCTGTTTCATAATATACATGGTTGATTTTCTGTATTACCCAGAACAAAAAAGGAAAGAAAAAAACAAAAGAGGTTGATCAGTTCAATCAACGAGTATAAAAAAGTAGCGTAATCAAACCTATTAAATAACCTAAAAAAGATGTACCTTTATTTCTAATATTTCCTTTGGCCCGGAATTCTCAGACGTGAAAGTGAGAGGATGCCAAGATTTGGCTTCAGCTTTTTTTGCTGATAGGTTCCATGTAGTGTATGTCACTGTTCTACGTTCCATTTCACTTTCCAAGCCACGCATCTGAAGAGACCAAGATCAGGATACAAAAAATGAATCCGCAAAATCAGTGTTCTAAAAAGAGATAAAGCGAACGAGAGATTTTGATAATTGTTTGTACTTACTGTAAGCAGAGTTTGCACATAGTGTTCATCAGGGATGCAGTTGTGACGTCTATGTTTCTGTTTCCGCATTCACACCAATGTAAAAATGTTAAGAAAAAGCAGCCATTTACTAAGAAAGAATGAGATATCTGTGGGAAATAACACTTGTAATCTTCCAAAACCAGCAACAAAGAGAGATTGAGACATAGCAGAATACTTTCTAATTATTTATTGCTATGAACACCTACAACTTGTTTGCGGATTCAATATATTTATATCATCCAATCTACTTTAATATAATCAAAGTAAATGAGATGTATAGAAAAAAAGTGTACTTACAAGAGAAAGCCATTTCTTTCTGGGATCCAGAGGTAGAGATCGCTGGAAAAGAAAAGAAATACACAAGTAAACCGTTATTTCTTCAAGAAAACAGCACAAATGAAACTACATTGACATCCTATACTCTGAGGTTTTCCTTAAGAATAGCTCACAAGCCATTTAGAAGGATAACATACTACATAAAACCAAGAAGTAACAAAAATGAAGACACCAAAAGCTTGACCTTTACCTTGCAAAATTTCTGAAAAACTGGGAATACAGTATCATCATTAACAATGACCTCTGCATGGCTTCTAATCAGTGATATCCACTGCAATAAACAAAAAAACTATCAATGGTTTCACAAAGTTACAATTACTGTCACAAGAAACTCAAACTTCTAAAATCTTGCAAAGGAAACAATTCTGCAAAAGTATGTTTCAAAGGCTAAACAGTAAGTTTCTTTTTCTCAAGAGATCAATATGATTTTAGAACATACCTGAGATCCTTTTCGCCATTTCTCTTTCGGTATGACAGGAAACATTTTCATGGTGTAACGCTTATCTTTAGTATCTAGGAAACTGCAAACAGAGAGCAACACAGTTTATCAACATCTCAATAACTCTTCTCATAATACAACAGCTAGCTGGGGAAATTATATCTAATGCTTCTGATACTCTTTATTCAGGCAACATAAATGTATCCGAACATCGAAATTTACCTGTCTACAAAACTTTTAGGTGAAGACATTAGATATCTGTATATGTAACCAAAATCGTATAACGGAACACAGCTGCATCAAAAAGGGTAAAAGCAAAGGAATGAATGGCTTAGTTGCATATCAATAAGATCAAATCTTAGATTCGAAGAAAAACCGACCTATCAGACAAAAGAACAAATCTTTGATTCGAAGGATCCTCCAAGGCAGATGCAAACAACAATCTCTCTGCTGCAATCATACTTGATTCTCCCCAAACTACCTGTATGTGAAGTAATTCTAAGTTTCTCAATTCATCTATCAAATTCCTCAGATCAATCCTATTGTTTTCCATTTTCACATAATTTGGAATGAAAAAAACTTGCCTCGATGCTATTCTCCAGTTGACGATTGTGAAAGAACTGCGATCGAGTGGTGGAATCATCGAATACGAAACCAGGTACTGAATGTACATAAATCGAGAAATTCCTCTGATCTGCATCCTGCCAAATTACAAGCAAAGAATAAGACCGATTTTCGCGGAAAATGAACTGATCAAAGACATGTACGAGTTTTAGAACCTTCAAGAATCTATCCCACAGAAAATCGAGTGGCAGATCACGTCGAGCTAGGAAAAGGAACGCGATCTTCGGACGAACACCGGAGTATTTGCGAAGAGGGATACGAGATCTCGCGACGGAGAGCGACGGTAGTGTCGCACTGGGACGAGACTGAAGATGAATAGAGAAGAGAGCGAGAATGATTAACGCGGCGGAGAGAGTAACAATAAGCTTCCATCGAAACCACACGACGCCGACGACGCGACGATACGCCGGGAACTGCGGCTGCGATTTCCGCGGCATAGTGAAGTGAAAAGCCGCAAATTACTCACCTCCGGCGATCTGCATCAGAGCTCCGGGAAGATTCGAAACGGAATTCGAAATCTCTTTAGGTGTTTTTTTTTGTTGTTGTTGAAATTTGGAGATTTTTTCAGGAGAAATCAAAAATCGAAGGATTTGGCTTTAAGAAGGCAAGTCACTAAAGCAGACGTTGAATATCATGAAAACGACTTCGTTTAGTTGTCCACGTGTGATATTTTAATGGGACCCGCGTAATTAGCGTTTTTATTTTTAATTAAGGAAAAAAAACATTCAAAATATAATTAAATGGTCATTAAAATTGTTTCCTTTGGTAAGGATTAAGGGCCTGAATGTTTTAATTATACGTTTTCTCTTGCAGCAAATGCGGCAAACACATTTGTTTTGGTATGTTTTATCGCAACACACTATTTTCATTTTTCTTTTAGTATTTTTTGTRATTTGTCTAGTAAACACATTTGTTTTGGTTTAATTCTACTTGTCCAGTAAAATTGTTTAAACTCGAAAAGAAAATGATACCAAAACAGTTATAGAAGAGATAAGACTATAGATAAAGGTACAATATAGCTAATTTACCACTTTTATGATTGTTAATTATGTAACAGRCAGAAGTTTTCCTCGTATCAAAAGTTTTYTTWTTCGAAC